CCCGGGTTACATGGATCCGACTTACATCGGATCCCTACTTACAACCGGGGTGAGGCACCCCCGCACTAGCTACTTCCCCCCAGCAGACTAGGGAGATGCGAAGCTAGCGCGTCCCCCTCCCCCCGCCCAGCAGACCAGGGAGAGGTGGAGCGGCTTTTCTCAGCAGACACCTCAGCTTGAGAATAAAAGACTGAGGGAAGTGAGGTGTGGAAGAATAAGACTGAGCTCTGGAGAAATGTTTGGCTAGAGTTTCCCCTACAATATGTACCAGTTCCGACTTACATACAAATTCAACTTAAGAACAAACCTACAGTCCCTATCTTGTACGTAACCCGGGGACTGCCTGTATATTGATGGCACAAACACTAATTGAAATATGTGAACCCCCCAGGATCTAGCCAGTGAATAAGTATGCAAGTAACAAAGTAGAAGGTAGGTCTCAGAATTACAACAGACACTAGCTAAAAAGACCATCCAGCAGAGAGAGAGAAAAAAAACCATCCCAGCCTCTTTTCCTTTTAGGGGAAAAATAGTGTAGTTAAGACATGATCAGGAATTATGCAAATGTAAGAATGAGGAAAAAAATGTTCCCTTTTGCTTTTTTCGGTCACCATTCACCCAATTTGTCAGCCTTTCTTGCCACATTCATGTCCTCATCATTTAACAATCCCTCCTTTTCAGCCTAAGTTAGGAGCAATGGGGAAATAATCCAGCAATTTGCTGTCTCTCTTTCAGCACTTTTCATTTTCCTAATGGCTATCTCTGTGAAGTCTCTATTCTCCTCATTTCTATCATTAAGCATGTAGTGTCTTGTTTGTAAATCCCTGCTTACGCTTAGCTTTATTGCATGTGATTCATCACTTGTATACTACTTGTGCAATTGATTAATAAGAACTGAACATGAAAAGATATTATCAGAGTTCATTATTCTATTCATTAAGGGAACCACCGAGACAATGAGAGACACTGAGAATTAGAATATTTTAAAATTTCTCACCACACTTGAGATAATGACTTAAGAGACAACAGTGCTGCACCCGTAGAAATTAATACAGCACGCTTATATGTGCAGGAAAAAAGGAGGAAAGGGGGAGGGATATAAATAATATTTTTCATTGTAAAAAAAATCTGTTTAACGCAACAATGAAAAAACTACTGAATGACCACCCTGCTACACGTTTAAGTGTGTGAGCGTGGGAGGGGTATTTGACTGGTTGGCTGAATGAAGGGAACAGTCTTTCTAGCTGGGGGAAGGGGCGGAGAGTTGAAAACTGTTGCAAAGGGGGTCAGCGTGTTCACTGACCCATCCCCTAGGAATGCAGGGTTTAAAAGGGGCATCCCTATGCCTGAAGCCTCCATTTCACACACAGCAGGCTGAAGCAGGAGACAACACAGCACTTCAGCATGTCTTAGCCACATGGCTCCTCTTAGAAGCAAAGCAGTAAGAAAGGGAGAAAGCAGTGCAGGCCCGAGCCATTCACACGCTGTGGGCCCCAGGAATGCAGCGCCACCCCCGGGAGTCCGATGCATGCGCGGCCCCGCCCCTGGCGTGCAGCGCATGTGCAGCCCCGCCCCCGGGCACCCAGCACATGCATAGCATGAGTGGTGCAATCTGGCCCGGCAGCCTTGCGCGGCGCCCCCTACAATGGGCGACCCGGGCGGTAGCCCACCTTGCCCATACCTTGGGCTGGCTCTGGGAGAAAGGGATACATTTCTCTCTTCTTCTGGCCAAGGAGAAGGAGGAATAGCTCCATTAGGGGAGGAGGATATGGCTAGTGAGCAGCCTGCAGTCTCCTTCAGTCCCTGGCTAGGGACACAAGGATTTGGAGTGTCCCCTAGGGAAATGGTGGGAGCCTCTGGGTATGGTTAGGTCCTGGCAATGGACTTGCTGGAGGTACCTCGATAGAAAAAGAGGGTGAGCTGGTGTAAACCCTGCCCTCACCCCCACCCCCACCCCAACGCCAAGTGCTGTAAGGTTCCAGAAAAAATGTGGATGACCAGAGTTGGATGGAAAAAATGGGGGTGCTGGTAAAAGCCCCCCCAGATAATTATGGAATAATCTGCATGGTATTCCCACACATCTAAAAATAAAATTGCTGCTTCATTTAACCCATGTCCGTTGACTCTTGCTCTTAAACCACAGAACTATTGCCCGTAGTGGTTGTGACCACCTATTACCTGAAGGCAGAAAAGCCCTCCCATTCCAAAAGCTACAATTCAGTAGGTCTTACCTGACAAAGGGCCTAAACTACACAGCATTAATCACAATGGTGAACAATTATAGGAGTAGTCCCAATGACACCAGAGACCTTCTTGAAGATAATTGATTTTTTCAGAGGACAAGTGCTAAACTTGCCTGGGATAATAGCCTACCATACATTTGGAGCAAGATCTTCAGCTGATGTAAATCTGCATAGCTCTACTGATTTCAGTGAAAATAATCCTGCTTACATAAGCTCAAATACATTTTATTAGATAGTGTAAGTTAGAACATATGGCCTTGTGCTCACTGATGTGCATGAGTACACAATAGATCCTTTCTAAAGTGGTCAATGCTTGCACTTAATTCATGCCTAATCCGGCTGTATATGTCTCTTACTTTTAACCAAGGATATTAAAAGTACATGCAAATTAAAGTAATCAAAAATACACAGATCAGCAACAAAGCAATGACTATTTTACAGATATATGTCTTTGACCATATATGTGTTGTATGTTTCTAATGTGTACCAAAAACTAAGACTTAAACATTGATCTGTGAGAATCTTTTAATCTGTATAAACAAAATTTCTCCCACAAATTGTCCTTATGTAAATATAATAATCGTTAGTACGGTATTATATAACTACTTTTACTGTAGCCAATACATGTGACGTTAAATGATTGGAAAAATATATGTGACTGTTCACCAATATTTAACAAACAAAATATTAATCATCCATAAATGATCGTTGAAGTCTGTATCTTGCAATTGAGTCAGTGCAGGAGGACTCCACCCCCACCTCCCAAATTCCTGTGCAATAGGGCATTGTGTGGTGTTAGGGATCTGTCTATGCACAAGAAGTTGTAGAATCAGGGGGTAATATGCTGAAAAGAAGTTGAAAATGTTATTCTGTCCACATGCAAGCAAATTCAAGTGCTGTGAAAGTGAATTTTCTTTAATAGGTGACCAGGGAGATAGTAGCAAAACAGAATAAGAGAATAATTTAGAACCAATAAAGATTAAGCCATTAAGTGCAATGTTAACTGTTCTTCCATTGGATGCTACAGTATAGAGGAATATAACCAGTAAGTGCTATATAAGAATATGTTCATGCAACATATTCTTAATATATGAGATAAATCAAATTTAAAAAAAAACCCCACATTCAGATTCTTGCTGACTGAACCCAGCATGTGTACAGTATACAAATTAATGAAATCAAGTTTAAATAGGAACACAAACTAAAGTGGAGTAAATATGTAATTTTCTGTCATGCAAATCCTTGCACTTGTATCTAACATGTCTTTGTATGTCTGAATTTAGCTCTTTGTAAATAAAGGAATGATACTGAAGGGATTTATAGTGCTGTAAGCAATCCTAATGAATCCCTTGATAAATTCTTTTATGACTTGGTAGTGTAATGGTTTCTTTTATGTGGATCTTGCATGGTGGGGGGTTGGAATTTCCCCATCTGGGCACATGGAAAAATTGGATCAGACACTACTTAAAAAAGGGGATGCTCTCTTGAGAAAGGGGGCCCATTTACTGTGACATGCCCAAAGACCAGAACTCAGATCAGGTAAGAACAGACTAGAATGGGGAGGAGTGAGTCAAGATTGTTTGTTATTGTTGATGTGTAAAAGGGAAGTCAAATCCCCCGGAGCCATTGATTCCCCTATGAGGGGCACGTACAATATATATACATTGCTAATGCTTAGATATATTTGCTATTTGTATAGGAGTAAGACATGACAAAGGTCAGGGCCTGTCACAGGTAATAACTTATAATAAGGAGACGAGGGGAAGTGAAACCAGTCTTCTGTTAAGTAGAGATATGGATAGATTCCACATCCTTTAAACTTGTGACCGGCTCAAGCAGGAAAGGAAAAAGGGAAGTATGGCTTGCCCATTGTTCAGCAAGTAGGCACTGTATTTAACCTCATTTGGAAAATTAACCTGACCTATAGGAATGCTAAATGTCAAAGATGAAGTAACCTATCATGTTAAGGCACCTAAACCAGGAAAGATGTGAACCCTATAAAAACCCCTGCCTATGAGATGTTGGGGGTCGGCTCTGATTTGAACATTGAGTTCCTTAGCCGTACCTTGGTTGCAACCAATAAACTTGAGTTGGACCCAGCCTGAAAGTGTGACTCTCTTCTTGGGGTAAATCAGACTAGCCTCCAAGGGGACGAAACCAGCAATTTATGCAACATTGTGTATTTCTCTGCTTTCTCAAAATAAAAT